GTTTTCATACGCGTTTGGCCAATCAATGTCTAGTTACGTCACGATTAGTACCAGTTGTGCTGGTTAGACCCTGCTCCGGAGTAGCAGCTAATTTGGTTCTCGAAAAAGGCAGTCCGGTACTAAAATCGCTCCCAGTTCCGGCGGTGCGAACACGCCCAAAAGTGGGTAGTTCCACAATTAGTTCTGGTACTATGAAAAGGTTCCCGCGGTGCGAAAGGCCCTAATGACTGCCTTGGTAGTTCTAGTGTTAAACGAGGCGTTTTAGGAGGGCGTGGACGAGTCTTAACTTTTATAAAGAATATCTCTTTGGATTTGAGACTTTAGTCTTTGCAACTTCAGGGATCTTATCTATTCACGAACAGGTTGTAACACTCCAAAGAGAAAGGAAAACTTGAAATCGCATCATATGACCCCTTTAACAGAGTATACCAACAGCACACTTGAATAAACTTCTTTTTGTAAGGGGACTCTTTTTAAAGAACACAAACGCGGTTTCACATTTACATGACTTTCCATTTGTAAGTCTAAGTTTGATGTTATTACACTGATCACAACGTAATGGTCTTTCTCCAGAGTGAATGCAACAATGACTGTTGAAATTGAAAAAAAAAGAAATTGGTCCTTTTCCTAAACCTCTCGTCACACTGAGGAAAACAGCAATTTCTCTCCAGAGTGAGTTTGCAAGTGCCGTTTCAGTTCTGTGTGATATGTGAAACTGTTTTCACACTGAAGACACTTGTAAGGCTTCTCTCCAGTGTGAACTCTGATGTGAGTCTTAAGGTTTCCTTTATTTGTGAAGCTCTTTCCGCAATCAGGGCAGGTGTAAGGCTTCTCTCCAGTGTGAAGTCTCATGTGATACTCAAAGTGTCCTTTAACTGTGAAGCTCCTTCCACACTGAGTGCAGGAGAAAGGCTTCTCTCCAGTGTGAACTCTCATGTGATTCTCAAAGTTCACTCTTTGTTTGAAACTCTTTCCACAGTGATGGCACATGAAAAGCTTCACTCCGGCGTGAATTTTTACGTGATTCTCAAGGTGATTCCTGTCTGGGAAACTCGTTCCACACAGATGACAAATAAAACAGTCCTCTCCTGAGTGAATCCTCATGTGATGATTCAGGCTCTCTTTATATCTGAAACTCTTTCCACAGTGATCACAAACAAACGGCTTCTCACCAGTGTGAACTCTCATGTGAATCTTAAGGATTGCTTTGATCTTGTAGCTCTTCCCACACAGTTTGCAGGAGTAAGGCTTCTCTCCAGTGTGAATTTTTATGTGGGCATCGAGTTCTTTTTTCTGCTTAAAACTCTTTGCACACTGAGAGCAGATGAACAACCTCTTGCCGGTGTGATCTTGCATGTGAACTTCAAGATGTCTGTTTAGCGAGAAGCTCTTTCCACACTGAGAGCATATAAATGGCCTCTCCCCGGTGTGGATTCTCGTGTGAATTTTAAGATTTCCCTTTACTGAGAAGCTCTTCCCGCACTGCTGGCAGGGGTAAGGCTTCTCTCCAGTGTGGATTCTCATGTGAATATTAAGACTCTCTTTTCGTGAGAAAGCATTCCCACAAAGTTCGCAGGAGTAAGGTTTCTCTCCAGTGTGAATGCTCATGTGGGCACTAAGAGTTTTTTTCAGTGTAAAACTCTTTCCACACTGAGGGCATATGAACGGCTTCTCTCCACTGTGGATTTTTAAGTGGATTTTAAGGCTTTGTTTTCGACTGAAACTCTTTCCACACTGCTGGCAGCTAAAATGACCCTCTTCAGTGTGGACTTCAAGGTTCCTAGTTTCTGTTTTATGAGTCTGTGAGAAACTAAAAGATTTTTCCCCAGTCATTAAGTCATGACTTTTCTCATACTGATTTTTCTCTTCCATTTTATTCAGATCTTGATACTCCTCTTTCAGTGGCATCAGCTCTAGGGTGAACGGAAACAAAAACAAGTCAACACCAGTTTTGTGGTACAAAGACGTGGAAACATTTAGAAAGTAAACCATCAAATCCAACAACACGCATGTTAGATGCTAGACCCAGCAAACAACTGAAACCGTGTAACCTGTGATCTCAGAACCTCTTGTCAATATTGTTCATTCTTGGCTTTCTTTAGGACACTTCCCAAATACTTTCAAGCTGGCAGCTATCAAACCCTTTAGAAAAACCTACAGTAGAGCACTGGTCCCTACACAAATCAAGCGGGAGCAGGCAGAACTGGGAGATCAAATATATACCGCGGGTCCCAGGATTTAAGAATGGAGTCAACATATATATTAACTTCTTCAATTTACATGACAAAAGGCAGACAAAATAGAGCTAAGGGCAAGAAAACTGTAATGGAAAAGGAAAATAATAGTACTCTTACCCTGTTTATTTCAGTATATAAAGTGGGTGAAATGACTAAAATAATTGCAAAATTGCATAAAAGTCTGCAAGACAGTAAATTAGAAAATACCCAGTTTATAAGAAATAAATGGGAAATGGAGGGAAACTTTGAAATCCTAGAAGACGTTTGGAAAAGTATTCTTAAATCACAGTGGAAGACGAGATACTCCTCAATCTCGAGAGAATTTGGTTGAAAAATATCACCAGATTTTTCTTCACCCCTGAGCAAAATAGATACTGAAGCAAAAATGCAATCTGTTGGAGAATGTTTGGCTCAAATGAAGCCTATCATAGCCATATATTCAGATATACAGGCAACAGTTTGTAGAAATTGGTGAACATAGATTTACATACATGAACATAACTTGTAGTGTACCACAAGGATCGGTCTTAGGACCAATACTGTTTATAATCGATATCAATGACATGCAGAGTATTAGATAAACTAAAATGTATTTTATTTGTGGACGGCACAAATATTTTGTTCTGGGGATAATTTACAGAATAATCGCGCCAGAGAAACATGACTGAAGAAAGGCTTTGAGAATGAAAACCAACCTGTTTGTTCCTCAGGATCTTCATGTTTGAAAGCTTCTCCAATCCTCACGTCTTCACTCTCCTCTTTAATAAGCTCCATCTCTATAACAGTGTCTCGAGGATCTCAGCTTCAGCAGGAGTTTCTCTGTGTGTTTGAGATCAGAATAATTAACAGACAGATCTCTGGATGAAGTCTAAACACTCAAAACTAGCACATCTACTTAATAAAAGAACACAGATATAATATTTAGATATGTATTGTTTGCTCTGTATTGATCTGTAGATAATGTTTGACAGCTTACACAGTGTGTGTGTGTGAGTGTGTGCGAGTGAGCGTGTGTGTTGTGATTATAGATGTGTGAGTGAGTGTGTGAGTGAGTTGTGATTACAGATGTGTGTGTGTGTGTGTGAGTTGTGATTACAGATGTGTGTGTGTGAGAGTGTGTGTGTGAGTGTGTGTGAGTTGTGATTACAGATGTGTGAGTGAGTGTGTGAATTGTGATCACAGATGTGTGTGTGTGTGAGTGAGTGAGTGAGTGAGTGTGTGTGTGTGTTACAGATGTGTGAGTGAGTGTGTGAGTGAGTTGTGATTACAGATGTGTGAGTGAGTGTGTGAGTGAGTTGTGATTACAGATGTGTGAGTGAGTGTGTGAGTGAGTTGTGATTACAGATGTGTGAGTGTGTGTGTGTTTCAGATGTGTGTGTGTGTGTTACATATGTGTGTGTGTGTGTTACATAATAAGATTAAGATTTACAAACATAATTTTACTCCTCACAATAGTCCTCTATGGAATAACAGATGCATTGTGAAAAATATCACATTCATCTGCTGTAAGGATGGTATAGTGCAGCGGTGGTGAACTCCGGTCCTGCAGAGCTTTGGTTTAACCCTGATCAAACACACCTGAACCAGCTAATCCAGGTCTGAAGAGTTACCTGGGAGCTACCGGCAGGTGAGTTTTCATTAGGGCTGGAGCTGAACTCTGCAGGGCTGCGGCTCTCCAGGACCGCTGGGAGAGTCTGTAATTGATCTAGGTGATGTCAGCTCTTTTATATGAGCAGTTTTGTGTATAATAAAAGGAATATTATTCACTGATTAAAGCAGGGCTGTACAGTGCGACATATATGTGGCACGTGCTATGAAAAAACTGGTCTGTGCGATGAATAAATGTACCACAGTAGCACGCGTGCGATACAGTTTTGCATGTTCATAACAGCTGCTTAATAGTGTGAAGTGAGTTCTTGTGCTTGTTTGTGTGTGAGATTGATTATACTTGGTAGTTACCCTGTTGAAAAAACCAGCATATGCTGGTTAGGTATGTTTTGACGCTGGGATGCTGATTTAAGCTGGTCCTTTGCTGGTTAAAGCTGGTCCTTTGCTGGTTTAAACTGGTTCTTTGCTGGTTTGTGCTGGTCCTTTGCTGGTTTGTGCTGGTTTAAGCTGGTCCTTTGCTGGTTTGTGCTGGTCCTTTGCCAGCAAAGGACCAGCTTAAACCAGCAAAGGACCAGCTTTAACCAGCACAAACCAGCCAATGACCAGCTTTAACCAGCAAAGGACCAGCACAAACCATGACGATTTTTGATCATGGAAGATTAAAATGTCTCCACGATCTGCTTTTGAAGAAATATGGTTGTATCGTGCTACAGCGCATTCTATCAGCTGCAGTTCTGGCGCCTCCCTCTGTCTCAATATAATGTACAACGCCACATGCATTCACTGCATCAGTGTTAGCTCAGCGGTAGACTTACTCTCACGGGACACTGCACTTATGTGCAATCACAAAACTGCATTATTTCATCAGCTTTAAAGCAATACCGGTTAAACATTTAATTCACGTGCTGTTCTGCATGCGCTTTTTCTGAGCGCGTACTCAAGACGTGCGCTCCCACTGAGAGCCTGTCAAAAAGTGCCTGATTATTGGGCTAAGTTGTCTTTCGCGTCTAATACTGTCAAAAACACACAAGGTTTACATATAAACACAGTTGGTTATGTCTAAAAGGAAAGTAAACAGTTAAGAGAGAAACGCGTGCAGCTCTTAAAGGGACAGTAGCTACTAAACATGCTGCCGACTGTCATTAAAGGGATAGTTCACCCAAAAAATTAAATTTGTCATTATTTACTCACTCACATTTTGTCCCAAACCTGTATTAATTTCTTTCTTTGTGCTGAACACAAAAGAAGATATTTTGAAGAATGTGAGTCACCAAACAGTAGCTGGTCCACACTGACGTTTACAGTAGGAATAAAATACCAGCAACTGTTTGGTTACCCACATTCTTCAAAAATAACTTTTATGTTCAACAGACGAAATAAAGTAATTCAGGTTTAAAACAACTATTTTGATGAACTTCTCATCAGTCAGTATAATTGATGATATATAGGCTAGTGTATATAGTGTTTTATTTTAATATGTGTTCATTCAATTTCTTGAATGTTACTGCTAAATACTGTACCTGAAAACTAAAGCACCGTTTGTTTTATTTGTATGTTATGTGTATTTGTAATGTATACCTTTGTTCTTATTTTCTAATAACAAAGATCAAATAATGACAAAGATTTTTATCTTTTTTTTTTTCTTTTATATTTTGTTCAGGTGTAAGAGGTGTTATGTTTCTGCACTCTTCCATTTTTAGCAAATTAAGAAAACTTTGTCTAAAAACTATTTTTGTGATGGTTTGTATTGTTTGTGCTCTTTATGGAACATCAGTGCCTGTTTAAGTGATGAACTCCATTACTTGTGCTTGTTTCAGACATGATAACAGATGTTTTATACTTGTGCTACAACTTTTTGGCCTGTGCTACAAAACTTTCAACCTCTGTAGCACCAGTGCTATGTGAAACAAAAGTTAATGTACAGCCCTGTAAAGGCAAAAATATGACTCCATTTTCAGTTGTTAGTCCTCGTCTACACTTAATCAGAGTGAATGTGTTGAACCAGTTTACCAGAAACACTAACTCTAGAGGGAGCACAAGATATATACGTTACAACATTTATAAATCACAAGTGAAGACAAAGCAAAGCACTGAAAGGATGCGAGCAGTTCTAGAAGCGCTGAGACTCATCAGCAGATCTACAGACTCATTATCACAGACATCAGCCGCTGCATTCACACTCAATTACACAAACCACACACACAGCACTTGATTCAAAAGATCCAAGTCTCCAGTGAACTGTATTCACAAATCTGACAAGAATCCCCCGAGTGCACGCGCGACTGATGCCGAGTTTTAGGAGTAATTATTGTAGCTAATCATGCTGGAAAAATATCAGTTGCCCTTCCATTGGACTATGGCTGAAAAACTTAATAACATGTTTGGCTCTTGAAAAGCTTGCATATGTAATAAGATATTAAAGAAGCTTTAGATGTGTGAAGTTATGGAATGTGAGAAGAGAGTGAGTGTGTGTGTGTGTGTGTGTGTGTGTGTGTGTGTGTGTGTGTGTGTGTGTGTGAGAGAGAAAGAGTGTTTTAAACCTGTCTGGGGTAAGTTTTGGGGAATTGTGTTGTGTTTTTTGAAAAACTTTGTAAAAACTCAATAAAGATATGTTATACAAAAAAAAAAGTTAGCTTATGCTAACTGCCTAGATAATTAGCATTATTCAACCACCTAGACAGATTACATTTGATGGAAAAACAAAGGATGTAATGTTCAGAACATAGTAACATAGCACAGTAATTAATTATCATTAATTGTGGTCAGGGCTGTTTTACCCCACAGACTAGGTTTGAAAAAATATATTATGATATGTTCTTTAAATAAAATGGTAATCCCTAACAACAGGCCTTATTCTCATATGATATATAACTGTGAAACACTTTTTCTTACTGCTGAAAAGTAGATCACTTCTGGTAAATCTGTTTTCTCTCAGGTACATCACTGTTGTCAACGCAGCCCATAGCAACAACACAAATATATCTTGACTCCATAGAGTGGTTGTTTATTTTGAGAAAAGCCCAGGTATTTTGAGCAGCAGGATTATATAAAATACATAATATTAAATGACCTTATATAAGTAGCCTATATGAAATTACAAAACAAACATTCATCAAGCAGTACTTTTTACTTAAGTACATAAACAATCAAGTACTTTTGAACTTTCATTCAAGTAAGATTGAAAAGGAGTACTTCTTACTTTTACTGCAGTAATATTGTATTATACGTATCTGTACTTTTATGTATTTCATCTTTAATTTTTTTTACAAAATATATTTTTTTTGATGTTTTGAAAATATATCTGAAAGCCTTGAGATATATCTGAAAGGTTAATGAAGCCTCAAGTTGGTGTAGTTTTAAACATTTCACTTGTTTGGCTCATTTAAGAATCTCCATAGGGTTCTATAGGCCCCTCTAGTGGCTGTAATCATAAAATGCAATTTTATGTAATTTTTCCCCACCAGATGGCATCAGAGACACTCAGTGACCTTAAGGTCCTGATGGATCATCATGTTTAAAGGATAAATATGCAGAAATTGTGTCTGTCTTTGTTTTTTTTAAAGAAAAAAATGTATAAAAATATGCTAATTTTCATTAAAAAATATCCAGAATTTAATGTGAATAAAATAAAAATCACCAAAAAATAATAAAAAAGCCTACATAAAAAAATTGAAGAAAAAAAATATAATAATAATAAAATATATAAATGGACCAATATAAGCTTTCTGGACCAAAAATAAAATTAGTGTCATTTTTTGGCCTTCGGGTCATTTTGACCCGCGAGGGACACTTTTGTTATGGGTTCGGGAGGGACGGATGAGGGTTAATCACACCAATTTAACATGTTAAATCAATAGCCTTTGTTAAAACATAATCAGAATTTCCCCCGTCATGTACCATGTCCACCCTGTCATGGAAGGCTTGGTGACAGGGTGGACATTTTTGGTTAAAGTCAGCATTTAATAAACACATGGTATACCTTCAGTCATCAAAGTGGTTCATTGTTGAAGCTGAATATGTACTGCTTAAAATAGATATTTTGCATTTCTGAAAAACTTTTATGTAAATTAATATTTTACTATGACAGGGTGGACATGATAAGCTTGGCAACATGCAACCACAAACACAATATGATGAAAATGAGGAAATATAAGTGTAGATACTGTGTGTGCTTGCAGCAGATGTTTTAACCTCCACTGAAGAAAGGCCAAATGGGCTGGAGATTTCTCTGAGTAGATCAGAGGGC